AAATTTTTAAAATAGTTGGTGCCTATTCGTTGGTAAAACAGACGCTTGACTTACGAGCTATTGTACATGATATAATAATGAATTTGTGTTCCGGAATATATGACTTACGTGGTATTGTTTTCAATTACAGAATGATACAATATGAGCTCCCGGAGTAAACGTATACTGGAATTGTGTAACAACACACCACATAAAGTACCAGTGGGGTATATGTCTAGCAAAAAAGACAATGTCACTATTACTACTCCGGATATCAGCGAAAAAGAAAACTTCAATATCTTAGATCTACCAGTAGACATAGTCAACGAGAGTTTTATAGAAACGTTTGGTATGATTGATGCAGAAATTCTAGAATCAGTTGAAACTACAAGTCTAGCAGTTCCGGAGTTTGACAATATGGAAATTGTTCACGGAGAAGTTTTAGAAGTCGAAGGACTATCTGAAGCTACAAACTTTGCAGATCCAGAATTCGAGTGTTCAGATATCGTTCAAAATCAAACTCCAGGTGTTGAGGCAGCAGCTGAAAATGCAGGACTCGAAGTTTCAGTACTTAAGGAGATGGGTTGCCAAAAAGATAGTGAAATACAGTCAAAAGTCACGAAATATCGTGAAAATAGTTTCAGCGACAAGGAAGTACAGGCACAACCACGAAAACGCTTAGCTGGTGGAAACTTAAAAAAAATCAATCAAGATCTTCGAATGAAAGGAAAGCAATACATGGGCTACAGAAGGCCAAAAAATCAAACGAACACGTTTCACGATGCACAAAGGGAACCGAGAAAACAATCTTTAGAATGTTCGTCACAATTTTGTATTAAGTCATCAAAATGAGGTTGATGAAAGTATACGCCAAGATATTTTCAAAAAATTCTGGTCTGATTTAAACTGGGAGCAGAGAAAAACCTATGTGGCAAGCTTGGTCATGAAGATACCAGTCAAGGATAAAAGAAACATGATGAATTTGGAATCTAGACGCACTGGTACATTGAAATATCATTTGAAGGTAGGCTCGGTGAATATGCCTGTGTGTAAGAAAATGTTTCTTTCAACATTTGGACTGAGAGAATGGCAAGTACTTCATTGGGCATGTAAGAGTGAACACGGAATTCATGATAAAAAACCAGAAAGGAGAGAAATAGGAGGGATATTGTCAAATCGGCAATCTAATGTTTTTATGAAGCAATTTTTAAATAACTTAAACAAATTGCCGTCGCACTATTGTCGTAAGGACTCAAAAAAATTATACTTAGAACAGTCGTTCAGAAACATTACGAGTCTTTACCAGGCTTATGTTCAACATTGTGAGAAGTCGAATGAAAAGCCCATGAGCCAAAATTCCCTTACTAAGATGGCGAAGAAACTGAATATTGCGTTGTATCAGCCCAAAAAGGATGCTTGCGACATCTGCTGTCAATATGAAGAGAAAAACATATCTGAAGAAACTTGGAAAATACATCAAGCTGAAAAAGAGCGGGCAAGAGTGGAAAAAAGCAAAGATAAAGAGGAAGCTTTGACAGGTACTCAACACGTTCTGACAATGGATTTGCAAGCTGTTAAAGTGTGTCCATCAGTGATGGCTAGTACGGCATACTTCAAAACCAAGCTATGTGTCCACAATTTCACCGTCTACAATTTAGCGACGAGAGACTGTACTTGTTATTGGTTTGATGAAACTAGTAGTGACTTACAGGCCTCAACGTTTGCCTCATTTATTGTAGATTACATCAGGAAACATTTTAATTGTGAAAAACCAATAAATATATACTCGGATGGTTGCACTTATCAGAACCGAAACACCATTATGTCTAATGCACTGTTGCATTTGGCTATGGATTTGAATGTCACAATTGAGCAAAAGTTCTTGATAAAGGGACACACTCAAATGGAGTGTGATAGTGTGCATGCTACAATAGAAAGAAAACTAATTGACAGAAAGATAGTTCTACCAAGTGACTATGTAAGGATATGTGAAGAATCAAGGTCAAAGCCCTTCAAATATGAATCAGTAATGGTTGATCATGATTTTTTTACTAATTATAACAACGTGCAAGTATATAAGTCGATAAGACCTGGACGAAAGGTTAACGATCCTACCGTAACGGATCTCCGAGCACTGCAATACTCCCCAACTGGAAAAATCTTCTATAAATTGAAATTTGACGACCCTTATCAAGAACTGCCGATGAGGACTACCCGTACAAAGCCAACCGAGAATGTGGTTCTAATGCAGTTACACAAAGAAGGACTGAAGATTAAAAACACCAAATTCGACCACCTCCAAAAGTTAAAGGCAGTTTTGTCTAAGGACGTTTGGCCGTTTTATGACCAGCTACCTCACTACGAATAGTTTCATTGTTGCTAGCGACTCATTACGTTGTGCAATAACTTCATTTGTGTTATTTTTTTTATGTTGTACCTGATAAAAGATAGCATAGGTCCACAAAAAGGTTTACCGCGGTCAAGCATTGCTTCAGCTCCATTTAGTTCTTTTTATCTCCATTCGTTATTATCGATTGTAAGGCGAGTTTTGGACTAAGCCGCCCAACAAACATAATGTAGTCCCACCCACAGTCCAATTCTTTTTTGTGACCTATGTCTTCTTAACAAGTATACTTTAAAAAAGCTGTTTAACTAAGTTATAACTTATTTGCTTATTTTTATTTTGTTTTTATGGAATTTAAAATTCCCAGGTGACTACGACAAAAACACGTAAGTCAAGGATTTTTTGTATTCAATAACTCGTATGTACAAAATAAAGTGAACAACAAACAGTTATTGTTCAAACCAGTTATAGGAGTCGATTTAATATCTCCAAGATCCTAAATATTAATACCTCACATGGATATGATCTTTTATGTTCAAGCTGTGCAGTTTTTTATGCCTCCTGCAAAATGCTACTTTTTGATATACGAGGTATTGATTTGAGGTCGTCGATATGAGGATGTTGCTAAATGTTATTCACGTTCAAGTCCTCACCTACTACAGTAAGTTAATTTAAAACTCATTTTACACAATTTTGCTATTCTTCTGAATGTTATTGCAGCTCCTGATGATGATGGCAAAGACCATTGAAAGCTAGAGAGATTAATAAAGTATAAAGAGCCCTCTTTGCTTAAAATGTTTGTCTAAGCACCCAACAAAAGGCAGAAGCTTTAATTTTTTCCTCTAACTGGTCTAGACGACAATGACCACGTCTCAAGTTATATATATATATGGTGGACTATACAGGGTGTTTCAGAAGGACATGCCAATATGTCTATGGTAGAAAGTACATACATCAAAAAATAATAAAAAAAGTTCGTATAAATATGGGCCCAAAGAGGTTCCCCTACCGAAGTTTTGTTTACGAAATTAAATAAGCATTAGTTTAAAATACTAAAAAACACACTTTTATAGCTAACCGAACTAATAATAAGTTTATATTACAGTACTAGATGGTCGAACAATCAACCATAATTAATGACAAAATAAAATTATAATAAAACCTAAGTTATTAACAGAATAATTCAACTCAGAGTAAATAGTGTGGGGTGCTTGATATATTAAATGTTAAAAACATTCTATTGGCAAGTATCTATGAGAGGAGAGTTATGCAAATTTATTAAAATTAAAGTTAAATTTTATTATAATTTCATTTTGAGGTCATTAATTATGATTGTTCGATCATCTACTAGTGTATATAAACTATTTGTAATTAAAAATTATTTTTAATTTTTAGTTAGGTTAGCTATAAAAACGTGTTTTTAGTTTTTTGAACTATTATTTATTTTTAATTTTTTTTAGTTCGAATTATCAATTAGTTTTTTGTGGACATTTCATGATAGTGCATTGTCATGGGTCCTTGATACGTGTGCGAAATTTCAGATTAATCAAACTTTTAGCATAATTGGTGAAAATTATGCTCAAAGAATCCGTTACATACATACATAAATACATACATACATAAATACATACTTACATACATACATACATACATATATACATACAGGTCAAGCTAATAAAATCGTGTTAAAAAATAAAAAAAGGTATATCACAATCTGCTGTCCGTGAGGATTGAACTCACGACTCCTGGTTTACAAAGCCAGTGCTCTGGCACTTGTAGGTGCTGTACTCGTAAAGCGGCATTTGAAATCCGTGGCTTTTTATTAACATCTGCTTTTTCAGAATTTTTGTTATAGATAAGGATAATGGAAAACTATTACCAAATTATTGCATTGTCATCGGTCCTTGATACGTGTGCGAAGTTTCAAATTAATCAAACTTCTGATAATTTCAAGGCCTACCTAGAAGAGTCTCTTTTTTTGGAATCAGAATTAAAAGCTCTATTTATCTGTACAAAAATACAATATGGCGCATAAAAAAGTAAAGTTGATGCTGGAGGACAAGGGACGAAACGTGATATTACAATTCTAATTATGCCTTCTTGTTGAAGAGAAAAAGAGGCAATGTTAACGTGCAATTTATTTTGATACCCCACTACAAATGAAGTCAGGAAAAAAGAAGATAGTTTTGGGAAAATTCGGTTGTTTCTGTCTCTTTGCGGAGTATTCTGAATTTCGAATGTTTCTAAGCGGAATTTTGTTGATTACCTAAATACTCAACTTTGCCCCCATTTGAGGGACTTCGTATCTCTTACAGTTTCCGAGATCCCAATGGTGAGGGTCGAATTTGAAACACCCTGTATAGATTTTTTACGTATTAACCCTGCCAGATATGGTGGATCACGTTTAAGATCGCAAAGACTCAATTGAAAGTATTTTCTTTCACTAACAAACAGAGCAGGGCGTCTTGGTGATGTAGACGTACCAATATGGTGAGGTGCATGGTGAGATGATCTGCTTCAATATATCTGTGCCTTTTGTCTTTAGGTTACAGTCACTACAAAGTCGGTGACTGTCGTCAGTCTGTCCCGTCCAAAGGTCACGACCAGTCTTAGGGGAAGCTCAACTATTGTGCACATGCTAATAATATGGGTGAAAGTTGTGGATTAAAACTATCCATTATATAGGATCAATTATTTATTTTCAAAAATAGTTTGTATCAAATTTGCTTGGCTTCATCAGACCGGTGAGATAATTTTCTGGATAATCTCCTGCAGCAAACTTTTGTTTGGACATTGGCCGTTTTGCTGCCTCTATGAGAAATTTCCTAAAACGGTGAAAATGGTCAGTTGATACAATGTAAACGCCATGAAGAATTTAAATTTTCTTCTTTGTTTCATTTGTCCAGAAAGCAATATTTTTAACTCACATGAAGCTTATCTCAATCAATTTAAGATGGAATTATGGTAGTTGCCGTCATATCCTTACATTATCGAAAGGTAGAGGGTGAATCAAATATAAACGGTAATTGTGCGATTACCCTTAGAATGCTGTTCCTTTCTAGATTAAGTTATGTTCATGCGGGACCCATTTGCTTAACTTCCACGTCTTTCCTAGCTGATGAAGATGCAAACGAATAGTTGCAGGACTCACTCTGAACATTTTTGCAAGTTCTTGGCACGTTGTCATGGAATTTGCGTAACAACCTGTCGAAGATCCTATCGATCATCAACATCCATGGCAATGTGCGATATACAGCAACCGCACGAACTTATTTGGTTACCTGATACTCCTGATAGTAAGGGGAACTGCTATATCTCTTATCAGGGCAGACTTCTCTTTTTTGTCTATGTATACAATGTCAGGCCTGTGTATGTATGTGCCTAGCTGTTATTATTGGGCGATCCCAATAGAGCAGTCACATATCGTTTTCTATGACCACGGCAGGTACGTATTTATAATTGGGAACAGCCTTTTTCAAGAGCCGAAAGTCATGATCGATGCCCAAGGACGAGCCTTACCGGTGACAGTATTCGTGCCGTTTGAGAGCTTATTGAATGTGATCGCCGGATAACCGTGGCACAAATTTCATCAGAAGTGGGTATCAGCTATGGAAGTGTTCAATCTATAATCACTGATCAACTCGGTTTCGGAAAAATTAGTGCTCGATGGGTTCCGAGGTTCTTGACCGAAAACCAAAAACAGGGCAGGTCGGAGATCGCTGGAAGGCGATTCCAGCGAAAAGGGGATGATATCCGTTGACACATCATTCGATTATTAAAGAGGGTAAATTAAATATTGGGTGGAACAGATGTCATGCGTATGAGCTTATATCAGTAGTTCGTTGCTATAGGCGCTGTGAATATGGGCATATTCAAAAAAGTTGTAGAAATCAAACAGTCTCTCCTCTTTGCGCTGGTAGTCATCAAAAACAATTCATGATATTGGATTAATTGTGCAAATGCCAATAATTAACAGAATAAAGGCCTTGATCTATGTCACGGTGTGTCGGATAGCAAATGTATATATTTTTTTAAAGCGTATCGTGACGTGTGATTAGACGTAGGTATATCATCATCAAAACTAGCCAGTAGGAAGTGGCGAAGAAAGGACGAAGGTTGTCCAGTAAAGGCAAAGACTTGCCTCTCTGCTGGAAAAGTCCTTACAACGATTATTTTTGACTCGACAAGACTTTTACTGATCGATTTTCTACACGATCAACGTACGGTGAATGCAGCTTACTACTGTCAGTTGTTACGGTCGCCAAAAGCCGCCTATTTAAACAAAAGACGAGCCATGCCCATTAGGGATTTTATTCTCCTCCATGACAATGCCAGGCCTCACACCGCGGCTTTGACAAGCGATACACTGGGATAAATGGGCGCCTCGTCGCTCTTGACAGGGGGATGACCAGGCAGAAGCACACTGAAGCGTTAGAATCTAAATTAAAAATCACGTTTCGGCAACTTTTCCCTATGCTATGTAGAACCTTAAAATTAAGTTTGATCAACGAAGTTCGGCTATACAAGATCGTTAATAGACCACCAATCACTTACGCAAGTACGGCTTGATGTTTTCTCGTCAAAACGCATTTGCATAGTCTGACAGTTTTGCAGAATCTTGAGTACAATCACTAAGGGCCCAGGGTATGTCTCCAATAAGACCCTTCACAGAAGCCTTGACATCGGTTATTTAAGGGACTACATCGGACAAGTGCAGCTGACGTTATAGTCAAGCGGAATACCATAGCAACATTTTGCTGCGCGAGTCAGTAGACTACACAGGCGAGCAAGTTCGCAAGCACACAAGGCCGCGGCTTGCACTGTGAACGTTACTCTTTCTCCTTCCTTGCTTTCTTCTTCCTCATTTCCTTCCTGATTTTGTCTGGTATATGGGCAACCAAACCTCACAGACCTACTGACTTACAATACTTCAACCAAGAGCAAAGGTCCTGCGGACCGCTCTGATAGACAATGAAGACTTGAAATGGGATATGAAACCATTCAGCACCCTGCTTATAGCCCCGACTTGTACCCATGTGACTATCTTTTGTTCGCGCCCTTGGATAATCACTGAGAAGAAAATGATTTGAGAGCAATAAAGACGTCGAGGAGCACGTCCGAAATTGGCTTACACTTCGCCCTCAAACTTCCTATGAACAGGGAATACTGAAACTTCCAAATCGGTGGCAGGGCACTGTATTGCAAAATGTTAAAACAATAATAAGATTATAAGCTGATTCAATAGATGTATAAAAAAATAGCGTTTATGTTTGATTTACCCTCGTATCTTCTGTTATATTGCCATTTAGAAACAGATTCATAGAGCCTCCTTGAGACTTGATGCTTCCTTTGAAACAATGGTTTTCACCTTGGAAACATTGAGGATCGTTCAGGGGAGGATTTCAGTTTTCATTTCATAGTAGGCTGTAATACTTGAATCTCGCATTTTGATGATAAAATTGGGACGATTTGGTTTATCAATAAATAATGCAAAATAATTATGTGTTCGCTTCCTTGAATTACAGCACAATCATACAGAAGACAAAAACTGAATATAGGCAACCGGTTGCACCGAACTGCTCTGCTGCTGCTAACTGTTTTTTCAATGATCCTTATATCTAATGACAAATACATAAAAAGATACAGCCAGATATGCGTTGTTTTGTATGAATACCAATTTTGTGTTTTAAGCATTAAAATCGATAAACAATTAAGCTAAATACGGAGCTTTTTAGCAATATTGAATAAATGTTTATAACTACTGCAATAACAATTATGAATCGCTAAACATTTGTGAAAATGAAAATAAAAATCATTGGCGTTGATAAGTGTGTTAAATTTCAGCCAGATCAGTTTAATAGTTTATGTAAAAAGCTAACTGTTTACCCCAGAGACAAATTATTTAAACAACTGTTCTTGTCCAAGATATGGCCCTAGAACATTTTAAAAAGTGAAATAGATTCTTGAAGGTTTTAGTTTCAAGAATTTAGGCAAATAATTAATTATTTATTTCAAAAATGATGTTAAAAATAGCCATTTTTATAGTTGTACAATAACTCCCTAATTTTTCAATATAATTTGTTTTAACAAGTTGATCTGGATAGGTGGTTGAAACACGCATATTTTTAACAAACCTTCTACGACCAATGGGAGCTAAAATATTTTTTTTAATCTCCTTCCTTTATCAACATTAAGACTCGGAATTTTCACATATTTTAATCAAGGATCTTAATTTTACGATACAATTTATAATTTTAATATTAAAAAATAGGCACCTGAAGTGAAGGTGCTCGCGTAAGTATTTCCAGGAAACGTGGTGGGGGAATCAGCTCTAGCTCGATTTATTTTTTGAAATTGAGTCTTCAAATCGGCACGCGCTGCAAAATTTTGCATTATCTCGGCTTCTAAGCAACTTAGAGCCTTTTTTTAAGTTGGGGCAACTCGTCGAAATAATGACATCTGGCACGTTTTCATTATAATGGAAAATCGGGAAAACCCGGAAAACTTAACACGTTGTATTCTTTAAAATTGAATTACTATGAAATAATTTATATTTTACAATGAAATTGTTTAAACAATTCATGATTCAGTTAATTGGTATACTCTTAACAAAATATGAGCCCCTTCTCACTTCAGTTGGCCCAACTATCTATTGAAATCTTAGTTTTTTTCTTATCAAACACAAATAATAAAAATGTAGCAGGGTGTTATAGGTTTAAAATAGTAACAATGAATATTTTGATAATATATAGTAGAAAACACCAACTTTATCACTCCCAGTCAATTACAGCATATCAACCTATTTTCATTTCAATGCAAAATAAGTCTATAACGCATAGGTGGCTGTGAAAAATAAAAGCCATGTCAATTGTTTTTATTAATCACAGCTGTCAGAACACGTTTGAACTAGTTTTGGGTAGTGAAGGTTTTCAAAATGGGTAGAGGAAAGGTTATTAGTGAGAAAATTCGGTTACTGATAAGTAATTAAATTTTTTAATTCTGGGAAATCAAACTCAGAAATTGCAACTTTGTTAGACTTATCGCGGTACAGTGTGAGAAATATTGTTAGAAGATATAACGTAACTGGTTCAGTTAATATTAAGCCACGATATGTAAAAAAAAAGTAATATCACAAATGCCGACCGAAGAGCATTAAGAAGAATAATCGTGAAAAAACAGGCGTGTCAATTATTTACAATTAAGTGCTCTATGGAGTGACGCTGTTGGAAGGAGAATTTCGAGGTCCACAACTCATAGAGAGGCCCACAAACTGGGATTTAGAACTTGCAAGGTAAGTTTTCTTATAAAAAAAGTGAAGTAAAAACCCTAAAGACGCACAACTTGTTTATAGGCCAAAGAAAAGCCACTATTAACTCCAATGCAAAAGAAAAATCGGAAAAACAGAAAAGTGAAATTTCCAGCACCCATTATGGTATGGGGCAGTATGTCATCAAAAGGAGTAGGAAAACTTCATTTTATTGATGGAAATGTGGATACAAACAAATATTTGGCAATTTTAGAAGAATCGCTTTTGCCAGTGATGGAAGAATGTTTGACATCCGGCCAAGATTTTGTGTTTCGGATGGAAGAAAATAATGTACCACTTTTGAAATGGGTTTCTAGCAGTCCAGATCTGTCACCTATTGAAACTTTGTGGCACGAGATGGAAAAGGTTCTACGACAACATCCTGCTCGTACAATCACCGAACTGAGACAAAAGCTTCAAGAAATATGGGATTGTTTTACACCAAATTTTTGCCAAAACTTGGTTAACACTATGCCCCAAAGAATTTCAGCCGTAATAAAAAATAAACGTCATTTTACCCAATGGTAATCTTTCAGTTGTTGCTTTGTTAACTTCGCGCATTTATTCGCACATTGTTTATTTGTTCAGATGTTCTATTAGTTATAGGTCTAAGTGATTTCAAATATGTATTTTTTACGACTAGAGATCTAAGATGTTTTTGAGAAAATAAATTGTTTTAGAAGTAAATAGTTTCGTCATGTTTAGTTTATAAAGGCATATTTTGGTACAAATCTTGAAGTGGGCCAACTGAAGAGGGAAGGGGATCGTATACTCTAATAAATTGTAAAAAATACTGATTCACATTTGTCTTTTTTCATTTACATTTATTTTATTTGCATTCGTTTTGTTTTAGTAATTTCGAGTCTTAATGTTTATAAACAGGAACATAGGAATTCTGGCTTCTATTGGCCGTAGAAGGTTTTCTTAAAATGTGCATTTTTTAACCACATATCCAGATCAACTTGTTAAAATAAGTTATGTTGAAAATGATGTAGTTATTGTAAGTGCTTATAACTATAAAAATGTCTATTTTACTATCATTTTTAACAGCAATTTTGAAATAAATAATTAATTTTTTGCATAAGTTCTTGAATTTGAAACCAACGATAATCCATTTCACATTTCGTCGGCTTTCTCACGAAGTGTCCTAACCAACGGTTAGTGAATTTTACAGGAGAGCAAGAAAACGAAATCAGCGTGTTGTTGATTGAGCATTGAATGTAAAGTTTAGATATTTCCGAATTGAAAATTCACGTGTATTAGCCTATATTCATTGTGAATCATATGCCGTTTCAATATTTGCGGTAGCTTATCAAGCTATTTTGGAAAAAAATGGAAAACGCACGTAGGTCACTTCGTGAGAATTTTCAGAAGATTTTTGTCAGACAGAGCTAAAATATATTTTCATTGAAGTTCTGGTTATTATAATTTTTTAAGATATACAGAATTTGTTTCATTTACTTATAAGCAAATAATCACATTTCCAGCCAAGGGGGCGATTATCTCAGAAAATTTGTTGATTGTTAAATTTTTTAAGTAATCGTTGGTCTGCTGACAGCAAAGTTTATGTAAAAAAGTTCAGATCGACTTTTGAAGTTTGGCTACCCCCTAAAATATTTTCCTCAATGTCCATGACTAAAATTGATGTAGATTATGACAAAAATCTTACGTGATTAGATGAAGAAAAGAACTCGAAACGTCAAACCAATTTTTATTGAAATAAAAACTAAAAGAAAAGCAACTGACTTAAATATTATATTTTGACATATTACCAGCAAATGTTGATGTGTTGTGATACACAAAAAAAGGCAAAATTATCAACAATTCATTCCGTTTCATGGGCCAAATTTTGTAAAAGTTTTGGAATTCTGGTAAGCGTACAACTAACTGGCGTTTTTCGGATTTTACATAACGAAATTAAGTCGGAGTACTTCTTTTTTGTTATTTTTAAGTTGTTCTAGTTTAATATCATTTATATTATTACTATTTCCCATCAGCCTTTTTAACTCAATACTGTCGTAACTAGTATCGTGGTCGCTAGACTTAAAAAATATTTTGGTGGGCGTGTCTTTTATTACAATAAACTCCGTTTAATATTTTGCCCCTCCTCAGCTTGCCGTGTGGACAATATTCTTAAATCTTTTGAAAGTTTCTTGAAGTCAAAAAATTCATTGGGAATTACTAAATAAGGTTGACGTTTTCTGACGAATCAAAAGACCGGATAGAGTTATGAGGGTTCAAAAAGATCTCCAACTCCCGTTATCGCAGTATGAGTGCACTGTGAGCAGATTCTCCCTCACTTTGGCCGTGATTTCACCACCGAGGAGCGTATACTAACAAGGATTATTGGACACTAAGGGACTTATCTTCATTTAGGTCTCTTCGTGTGAATCATAAATTTACCTTTGCAGATAAGACACCCAGGGGCTAACGGTGTGTTGCCCACACTAATAGATATATAGTTATGCTTCTTCGTCAGATTAACCAGCATGGAGTAATACACCTATATGCAGGTTATCTCAATTTTTGATATTTTGTCAGTTAGAACACTTCGTGAGAAAGGCGACGATTTGTAGAACGTTCTAGAACCATAACTTGGGCAAGAACAGTTGCTTAAATAATTCGTCTCTGGGATAAACAATTAGCCTTTTACCGATTACCGATTACCTTTTAACCGATCCGGCTGGAATTTAGCACACATCTTAACACCAATTAACACCATTCTCACAAATATTCAGCCATTTGCAATTGTTATTGCAATAGTTATATTTCTAAAAAGTTCCGAATTTAGATTTATTGTTTATCGATTTAATTCTCAAAAACAAAAATTGAAGGTATTTTTATGCTATAAAGTTTCCAGTTTACCGATTACTTATATTTAATTTGAAATTTATATAAGCAAAATACTGAATTTTGAGATTTTCCCATTATTTATAAAAAACAACGCCTATCTGGCTGTATCTTTTTATGTAGATACTTGTCATTGGATAGACTTTCATTTAAAACTTCGAGATATCTGCTAAACTTTTTTACACGAAATACCTATTTTTTTCTGTGTGGTCTGGGATATTTAAATTTATTTTTCATAGTCACACATTATAATTTATAATATACAAAATTTGGGTATAAAATATGTTTTTTTTTTGTAAAATACTGTAATAGTTGAATCTGACAGACGTGATCTCAATATGCAACCAGCAAAGCAGTTCGGTGCATCTGGTTGCCGATATCAAGTTTTTACTTCTCTATGATTGTGCTGTAATTCGATGAATCAAACATTATTGTTTTGCATTGTTTATTGATATTTAGCAAGAATAAACCAAATCGTCCTAAATAGATACGGCCAGCAAAGAAAAATATTTCGGAAATCGATGACAGCTTGTGATGACAACTGTTATAGCCTACTGTGAAATGAAAACATAAATCCTCTCTCAAGAAAGCGCCATTGTTTAAACGAGTTGTCCAATATTACCAAGGAAGTCTCAAGTCTCAAAGAAGTTCTATAAATTAATCTAACCCTAAATTGCTGTTCATGAGTATACGTTGTTGTAGTTCTGCATTATAATATGCTATTTGATTTTTAAGTGTTGAAAATGTTCAGTATGATTGCGCTCTCTTCCCTATTAGAAGACGTTTGGCCATCTCCCGGAGTTTTTCGACAGCATCAAAGTTTGCAAATAACGGTAATGTTAATACCCACCAATCTCTTCTGTTAACAATCCCATGTACATGTGGTAGTTCGAATCCATTGAAATCTGATGCTATCGATAGAGAGTAGGCTCCGATTTCTTCGAACGCCACCCAATCTCCAATCGCTAGCTCGGGAAGAAGTATCGTCTCGGGGGAGACCCGATCGGAACCATCACAGGTGGCGCCCCAAACTGTACTTGGATAAACTGGTGCTCCTTTAGCTTCTTCGACGGGAGCTATCTTAACGTACAGGTCGTAGAGACCTTTAACAAATTAAACAAAACGACTGTTAACATACCGAGTGACAAAAAAGGTTAACACCTACGTATGTTTATCCGATCTTAGTAATTTTTGGCATATATGTTCAGTGTCCCTTACTATGATTCGTCAACTGACTGCAGAAGCTGGCTCAATAAACGGTTGAGTATCCACGATTTCTTATACACTCAATGACACGCCTGGGCATCGTGCTGATAAGGTAGTCGATATCCTGTTGGGGTATGTCATTCCAGGCTACTGCAACTTCGTAAGAGCTGCTAAAGTCTGTGGAGCCTGCGACCTACTATGTCCCAGATATTTTCAATTGGAAATAGATCAGGCGATCGCAGTGGCCAAGGTAAACGGTTGATGCGATGTTGATCCATGAAGGCTAACGATGCTCTGGCAACATGCGGTCTGGCATTGTCTTGCTGAAAAATCGGGTTTTGGAAGAGTTTAGGTTCTCATGAAAATTAGTGGTGATCTGCTACCATAAGCAATACCACCCCATACCATAACTCCCACGGTGTGGTGGACGTGGCGCTCTCTGTCAAATTGTGGGTCACGTCTTTCATCACGTCGCCTTCTCACTTTTGCCCGACCATCGTGCATCCCCAGTCAGAAGCAGTATTCGTTACCAAAGACCACCCGATTCTATTTCTCTAAACCAGAACAAATGGTTACGCCGATGTTCAGCTGAGAGAGGTAGCACCCCTCTCAAAGTCAGCAGGGGACACCCGGCGAGTTCTACGCACTCTAGGCATTCTGAGCAATCACAAAAGGGCTTCTCAATAAGCTACACGAAATTTAACGTTTAACTTAACCGTAAATGCACGAAAACTAAATGCTTCTTTATCACCAAACAATACACGCAGGATTACCCAGGTGTTGCTTTAGCAACAAGTGGTGTGTTTCGGTGGCACCAGGCCTTTTAGGAGGGCCGGGAAGAGGTCGCTGATGAAGACTGTGCTGGAAGACCTTCGACTTCGACAAACACCGATAATGTGACTCGTGTGCGCAAAGTTTTGAACTCAGACCGTCGACTAAGTATTCGTTTAATTGCCCCGATGTTAAATTTACCAAAATCTGTGGTTCATGACATTGTGACACAGCATTTGAACATGCGCAAGGTGTGCGCGAAGATGGGCCCAAATGTGCTCACTGACGACCAGAAATTGCGGCGAGTGGAAGTGTGCCAAGAAAATTTGAACATGTGAGAAAGTGACCCCCAATTTTTGAATAACGTAATCACAAGTGACGAGTCGTGGATCTTTGAGTATGATCCCGAGACAAAGAGGCAATCTTCCGAGTGGCACACGACGGCATCTCCTCGTCCAAAAAAGGGAAGAATGAGCAAATCCAAAGTGAAAACGATGCTCATTGTCTTTTTTGACATCACAGGCATCGTCCACCATGAATTTGTTCCTCCTGGACAAACCGTCAACGCCAAGTTTTACGTGGAAGTGCTCAGGAGACTCAAACGAAGGGTCAGTCGGGTCCGACAAAATATCGCAGCTGACTGGAAGTTGCACCACGACAACGCCCCGGCTCACACCGCCTTTTTTGTGACCGACCAAGGCCGGCATCCCAACGCTTCCGCAACCACTCTACAGCCCAGATGTGCCCCCCGGACTTTTTTTTGTTTCCTCGCCTGAAAAGGCCGATGAAAGGCAATCATTTTGAGACGACAGAGGGGATCCAAGCAGCATGCACCGCGGCTCTCAAGGCAATTCCGGAGAATGCCTTCCGTGACGCCTTCAATGCTTGGAAATCGCGCTGGCAGCGCTGCATCGACGCAGAAGGAGCCTATTTTGAAAGTTTTTAAAGAATTGTAACGATTATCTCAATAAATTTTTTTAAATCGACTCAGTCCTAATACTTTCCGGACAAACCCTGTAAATCGATATGTAACAAATCCTTGAATTCTAATAAACATACGTAGGTGTGTCACTTTTTTGTCACTCAGTATAATCAGGATATCTCTAGTTTTGAAGTCGCCATTTACATCGTAGGATTCGTAAGTAAGTCTATAAAAATAACATCAATACACAAAGCTTCGAGTCATTGAACAATAGTATTACAGACAGACAGTAGAAGGTATTTTAAAAAACAGTGCCTTAGTGAACGTGTGATCAGTTGGGTCAGAAAGTTCGAGTCTACAGGTCCGACACTGAATCAGAAACCATGTTCAATACGAACAGAGGAAACTGTAAGCGAAGTTGAGACATCCGTACCGCGCGATCCCCAGTTATCCCGAAAGAGAACAGCTGAAATCGCCATATCAAGAACATGTTTAAGGCATAGTTCGGCAAAAGATCTCAAATTTCACCTATCCAAAATCCAATTAGTGCAGGAATGACCACCATCTACGCCATGCTTTTGCCGAAACAATTTTAAAGCATCTTGAATGATTTCAACAAGATGGCACGGCAATCCATACAGGTAATGAGCCTTTAGCAGTTATAAACGAAATGTTTAGTGGAAAACTGATATCGCGACACAGGGACATTCCGTGGTCTCCCCGGAGTCCAGGTGTCACGCCACTGGATTTTTTCTCTGGGGATAACTCAAGAGCCGCGTTTACGCCAATAAACTGAAGACAATTGTCCAGCTCAAAAACAACATTCACAAGGAGATGTCTGCTATCCCACGAGCAATGAATCCCATGTGTCTTCTTTATTGAAAATATAAATTATCTTCCGTACGCTTTGTAGATTTTTTCCATGATTTTTTAAAATCCGCTCAACCTAATGGCCCACCCCGAGATGTTTTTTGGATGTTATGTGACATGTCAATCACGAAAAACAAAACAAATAATCGTTTAAACTCAAATATATGAATGCGAAGTTATTTTATTGTCAAGTAGTTTCTAAAAATATTAAGCTACTTGACTTGATAAATCCCCAAACACGACTCCAGTAATCATTGAAGATTACCCATTGTCGGTTTATAGCTCACAGGACTCCGAACTGTGTTACGCTTGACGCCAGTGATACGGTTGGCGCCAAGGCGTCAAAAAACAAGTGTCGTATAATATGTAATAATCAGTCTTTATCAAACATTGTCAAGATTTAGCTAAAGAAAACTAAATTAGAACTACAGTGGTCTCTTAAGAACAAAATAATGTATTTTTGTTTCCAACATTTTATAAAAAAAGAGACAACAAAACAAAAGTAACAACTTATGGTCTATTGTGTTACGGTTGGCGCCAGTGATACGCTTGGCGCCAAGGCATCAAAATGCTATGTCTTTTACACAACCTGCTGGGCAAGGTGATGCGTTACTACAGAAGCGGGGGGCCCCCAGATATGCCGCCTAAGGTAAGTATGCGCACTGGATGGTGAAACATAAACCAGTGATCTTAACCTAATGGCTAATGTTACAACAACAAATCGGGTGCTCTATATTCCAGCTGTCCCAGGAACCTGAAGTTTTACACAAATAAACCCTACAGCCTAATCTGATCTGCAATCCCTGGAATCACCTGTTGGTGTCAACCAGCCCTCAGATGGTCAAATGTATGCATGCAGCAGGAAGCAAAAGACGTTGAAGTAAAGAAGAAACAGAATAAAGAAAACGAAAGAGGCATAGGTGTAGGGTGGCCTTTAATGTAAATGGAAATCTCCCAATCTGAATAATCCCACAATACTAGTGGTGCGCCTATAGCACTTATAATTGTGAAGATTTCTCTTTTTCAGCTATTTTCCGGTACCATATCCGCCTTTGCGTAACAGACGCTCCGTTCGGTACCGAAAATTTGCAATGGCGATCCCTTTTCTTTTTTTCCTTGTTGCCCGCGCCTCGCGCCTGACATTTCCACGCCAGTTGACATGCCATAATCAAATCCAAGCGGATAACCAAAATTTCCGTATTATGTACCGCGGTTATAATATGGTTCAAGATGACACACGGGATGGTGACGTCAGTTACTTGAATCGCTTGAACGCGTTGGTTTTAACCGCGGTTTTTTGCAAGTTGTTTATTTTAGAAAAGCCCGTATATAATTTCTGATTATTTTTATTATCACTTAATAATCGGTGCTTTTTCGTCTACAACGGGGTATGGAAAGTTGAAAAAAAGAAAACTTTCATAATATTAATGGGAGGAATGTTTTTTTCCGAAAAAAATTTTTACTGATGGAACCATGGCTTTGTAGCTATGATAACTTTCAATTCTCTAAGCTTTTCCGCATGTCAAAGAAAATATTTATTGATTTAGCAGAAATGATGAAAAAGCGATGAAAAAAGATATTAACAAAATCGTATACAGGTGGACATCATCCAGTGAGTTTATACGGCCATATTTTAATATTCTTGTGGTATATGGCTATACAGGATACTTTTTGTGGGGGAACTAGATTTAAAGTGTCCCCAACAACAGTGATGATTATAAATAATAAGGTGTTCTCTTATGCTAAAACTGAAGTCAGCCTGTATCAAGTTTCCCAAAAATGAAGCTGAAGTACAATAAATATATCCAATACCCGGCAAAATTTTAACTTGTCACATGCCAAATAATAACCAGAAATATAAAACTACTCCGGAGTTGGGTAAATACCACAATTTTGCGGTGATAACTATGACATATAACAGCTGATTCGTGACGTCACGGATCTTATAACCAAACTGATAACCACACTTGCTTGAACGGATCGGTAAATACCAATCCAAAATGGTAAATACCATTTCCATTTGGTTATCCGCTTGAATTTGATTTATCATTCTCACCTTTGACAGTGACAGCCGACTTGATACCTGTCCGCAAACTTCATTGCTAATTGCTCTTAAGGTTATAAAATTGTAAACAATGACTAGGGTGGCTTCAGGGGCACTAATTTATGAAAGGAAACAAGTAATTTGACTTCAACAGTGTGAGTTAAGTATCTGCTACTTATGAAGTTTTGTTTCAGACTCGTTAGGGCAGGTCCACCAGAAGGGAGCGGATCAACAGGTGAAAACAGGAATGAAAATGCTATGTACAATGTATATACCCCTATACACAATAAATTTTAGCAAGGGCATGAGATCCATATATTCTTATCTATCTATATCGTATCTTATGAACTAGCAAACGAGTAAGTAGTAGAGAACCTTCTAATTCGTAAAATCTCTGCAGCTATAACTTACAACAGAAAATAGGTCGTAACAACTGTGAACCCTTCTGAAGATGCCAACCACTCGTGCTGGCGAAAATATTTTACGGCCGCGGAAGCCTTTCGCATTTCATAGTTCATTTCGTTTTATTTTTATGAATTATTCCATTTCTGTCATTCACTATCACACTACTTCGTTTGCGCATTTGCAGTGATATTTTCAACGAAATCGAGTAGAGATTCATCAAGTCAAGTAGCTTGATATCTTTAGAAACTAAGTGACTTCAAAATATAATTTCTTGAAACGTTAATACTTGATTTGATCTTTTATTGTTCTACTTCACTTGAGGTCAAGAATTTTCAAACTACTTGAAACTTGATGGCAAATTATATTTTTGTTCAACTAAAGACCTTCAGTGATATTTATTTGTACAACGGATGAGCCGTATTTTGTATTTTAATGCAAATAATCACTAGTGGTGGAAAAGACATGAAAATGTATTTCAAAATATAGTTTTAATGGAAAAAGCTTTTTTATCGACATCACAGTCCATTGAAACAATTTTTTTCAGGGCTGCACTGAACATTACGGAACCCCGCAACAGATTAAGCGATACATACAGGTCCATCATGTGTCAATTCGTAGTTAGCGAGTTAATTCAGAATTTTTCATTTTTTTGTATCATGTTTTTTTTTTCTATTTGAGCTTACAGTTTTAGCATTCTCTTATTTTTGATACGATGAACATAATATTTTGTTCAATATGTATTGTTTACTTTGTAACTTGTCACAAAGTCTTTCCGTTGTGTATTTATAATCTACGAGTACGATGACTGTCCAGCTCTTGTATTTATATTAGACAAATTATCAAGTAATATCAAAACTACTTGAATTTAGTACCTGACGTAAAAACTACTTGGCTTGATTCACATTGCTAATATGTAATACTTGTCTTGAGCTTGACTTAAGTCAAGTAGCTTGACAATCGAATCAATTATTGAATCCATAAAAACAAGTAAGCTGCATGAATAGATTACGTACCTATGATAATAGAGTTGAATACACTGATGTCCACATAGTACATTCTGATCGGTTCGCTACCATTTTGACTAGGCAGACATCTTTTCGAATGGATTTGCGTCACTAGAGTGAACGCCGATATCACAAAATACTGGCCTGGCTCTGCTATTATCTTTATAGACGGATCCGGGAAGTATTGATCTATGAATTTATTGACAGCTATCCCAACCTGCAAATTCAAAAGACTATATATAATGTCTTACTCAGGTTTTTTAAATTTGGACGCAACTACATTTCTTTAATGATTACATTAGAAAACATATTCATCACGTTATATAACAGAAATAGTTATTTTTCCCTTTTGTCAAATATTTCGTTTTACGAGGGATGTCTATTAAGTTTTGCATATAGAAACATAGTAGGCCGCGCGGATCGAACGTCAGTACTGAATCTTGACCTCATTCTTTAGTAAACTTAAATTCAATACATGCAGTGTTCTCACTACAGTGAATTTTTAAGTGTCACGAAGTCATTAGAGAAATGGAACTCAACCGAGAATATTTTCGCGCCATAATTTATTACAACTTTCAGAGACAATTATCGCAACAAGATTGCCTTGCTGAGTTACTGTCTGTTTTCGGCAACGAAGCGCCACCTCAGTCGACAATTTCCCGTTGGTATGAAGAATTCAAACGTGGTCGGGTGAGTCTTAGCGACGATCCCAGAGTGGGTGCACTTCAAACGGCAGTCACCCAGGAAAACGTCGATGCTGTGCGCAAACTCATCATTGAAGATAGACATGTGACATATCGCGAGATTGAGGCGTCCTTGAAGGTCTCAAAGACCTCATTTCAAAAAATTTGACATGAAGAATTAGGAGTAAGAACATTAGTTTCTCGTTGGATACCCCACCTGTTGACTGAAGAGCAGAAAGCAGCCAGGGTTAATTGGTGTCAAAAAACGCTTGACCGTTTCAATTCCGGAAACTCAAAAAATGTGTACAGCATTGTTAGTGGTGATGAATCGTGGATTTACTGTTATGAACCAGAAAATAAACGACAGTCGGCTGTTTGGATGTTCCAAGGTGAAGAAAAACCAACAAAAGTCATCCGTTCTCGAAGTGTTTCGAAAAAGATGGTCGCGACATTTGTGTCAAAAGCGGGTCATATTGCAACAATTCCTCTTAATGAGCAAATAACTGTTACTGCGGATTGGTATACCACCATTTGTTTGCCAAAAGTCATCACCGAGCTTCGAAAAATCAACCCCAAAAGAAGAATCATCCTCCACCAAGACAATGCAAGCTCGCACACAGCCCAAAAAACAAGGCAGTATTTAACGGAAGAAAACGTGGAATTATTGGACCATCCTCCATATAGTCCCGGTCTAAGTCCTAACGATTTCTTTACTTTCCCGAAAATTAAAAACAGACTGTGGTCAAAGGTTCCAGTCACCAGAAGAAGCAGTTGACGGATTCAAAAATGCCGTTGTGGATCTGCCAGCAAACGTGTGGAATAAGTGCTTTGAAAATTGGTTCGAGCGCATACAGATGTGTATTAATCTTCGTTTAGAATACTTTGGAAAACAATAAAGTCATTTAAAATTACCTACCGTGTTGTTTTATTTCCATATGCAAAACTTAAAAGACATCCTCCGTAATTACATTTCCTAACATAAAAGCAGTAAACCAATTTATCAAAGCCAAATTGCGGTAGTCTTCAAACTATACTGGTTTTATTCTCTGCTGATACAAGTACTGCCTTTTTACCCTTGTACCTATTACGATGTTTACTAATTTAATTTTTTTATGCAATAATTCTATTATTTGTGAATAATATGTATTTATCGTTATAAATAATTATTTTTGCTCCGGAAGAATAGTTTGCTGTTTTCAGTTTATATAATTTTTTATTTTTGTTGAATGTAATTATTACATGTAATTATATCATTTTAAATTGATTTATTAGATCTTGAAGTGGTTTATCTTATGCTATTTATGTGAATTTCAGTATGAATAAATTATATGAAAATATAATTCAATTCTACATTAGCGCGTTTTTGCCTTGAAAAAATAATATGAATAAATACGAAGAAAGGAAGTAAATTTATTTTTGGAGATGTTACTGCTTTTGGATTTACGGCAATTAAAGGCCGGATGTCATTTATTTCAGTCCTCAACAACAATTATAACCTGAAATCATATTCAAATAACTTCCTATAAAGTCATAATAACACTATTATTTATTTAGTTCCAAAAAAATCCAGAATTTATTACTTGATTTTCTGACTTCTAGGTTTCACACTTTGTTACTGATATGGTATGGGATTTTTTTCGACAGAAACCAAAACGCAAATTCTGAGTGATTTTCTATAAAGGAGGAGGAGCAAGGTCCGAACAAAAATTTCGCTCAAAAGTAGTGACGTAATTTTTTGCACAATATACTAACCTAATTTCCTGCTGTCCTTATAATGTAATGCGTGTGTATTTTAAAAGAAACGTTCACTCGTGTTTTTTCTTTTTTAGCCATAGAATACAAAGTTACCAGTAGAAGGTGTTCTCGCGAAAAAGCTTTTGATCTTCTGACTCCTAAAACTGACGTTTTTCGAAGAACTCGGATTCTTCTTGTAGGTGCGTCACTTGAAGTGGTCCCGCACTTTTTGTTGCTTTATACAGGGTAGTGCTGTCGTGCGTACGTAAATTGTTTGTAATGACATTGAGTAATTGTATTTATACAAGATGATTCATTATTGTTTTTATGGCATGGACAATGGATGACAAATATCCTTTGCTTGAAAAATTGCGAGTAAAAGTCACTGACTGGCGATGATTAATATGTATATGTATTATTACGTAACCGCTGTGCCGATTTTGCCAAAACTTACAATATACTGTATGGGACAAGCTTGAAAAAATGGATATAGGGGCGCTGAGCTAAGTAAAAAACAAATCTTTTTTAAATTTGCCTATCTGTAGTTTTGGTAAAACACGGAATAAAGTATAGAAAATAACGGGGAAGAATTCCTCCAATTCCGTAACATATTCAACGAAGCTCCGAGAAGGCACTATCAAGCCTCCAAATTGATCATGGGTTATTTTATAAATTAGAAGTAAAACTTCAAATCACAGCTTTGTGATATCACGTTTTTGTCACTGGTACACTCATGAATCGTAGATAAATTTTGGGTGGACCTCCTTCATCATTTACACCACGACCTGAACTTCTGTATGAAAAAACGGATTACAAAAATGCTGGAATAACAATACTTAGATAAAATCATTAGCAAAGCATCGGGACACCATTTCCCTCCTTTATCTTGTATCCAGGCACGCAGCACCATCTTGTCATAGTGAATCGCCCTGTACACAAGCAACAGCCGCGGGATCGACTACCTGCGAAGTTATAGTACAGTAGTGCTTAGTAAAAATATTTTTATTCTTTTTTCGCATAATCTCATTAAAAAAGACTAATGTATCTGCATGTTGCCAGACCTAAAATTGCGCCAAAAATTGTTTTTCTTTTTTATTAAGGTTGTGCAATAAACCTAACGAGAATATTTTTCTCAGCAGATGCTGCCTGAACTGTTACTGCTGGTAATGAATTGGTGATGGCATCAAAATAGCAGGTAGTATTTCAGCCACCAAAGGTATCATCTCTGTCACCCCGACAGTATCTCTTTTTCCGATGGAGTGGCTCTTCTACTGGCAACTCTGTATTGCATAATTTCAGCTTACCTCGTTAATCGAAGATCCCGTATTACCAGAAAACCCTCCACCGATATCCAACAACTTGAACTGATAGCCAAGTTCTGCGCCCATATCAAAAACTTTTCTTGAGGCTATAATTGCCTTTTGGTATACATCAAGGTGCGTATTTCCCGATCCAATGTGAAAGGATACTCCAATCACTTCCAAACCGAGTGATCTCGCCTTTTCCAAAAGATCTTTCGCTGCCGTGTCTGGATTAGCTCCAAATTTTCCTCCTAATGGAAAGTTTGACCTCGGGTCGTCATACTTTATCCGTAGAACTAACCTAGAAGTACCATCTATACAGCTTATCGGTATATAAGTATTTTTCATTTATTATTTATAATTAATAATAATATAAATAATAATAATGAAATTAGACTCGAAACGATAAGGCGAAGTTTAGCCAGTTCGCTACTGATACACCCAACCCTATTGTGTGAAGAAACATATACATAGAATATAAAATAAGATACACACAAACCTAAGAATAAATAATCCGATTTGATGTTCAACTGTGTGAACTAATGAAAAAGATAAAAAAAAGATCATAACAGCTAATCACAACATTTTGACAGCTAATTTACACTTTCACTTACCCAGGCAGAGTCGGTATAGTTGTATAACCTCACTGCATTTAAAGAAACACATTTTTGAAACAATGCGGTGTAGCGCAAACGCATTGTAAGGTTATTATTATGCCTCAGATATCTAAGATGAATGATTCCTCTAATTATCAACTTACTATGGAGATAAATAGACTTTTTAGTACTTATGCACAAATACATTAGGATTACATTCAAATCGTTCATCCATTTTCAGCCATTTCAACTTCTTCATCTTAGAGGAGACATGACTATATTTTCGTAGACCATATACAAATCTACAGCAGTTCTTTTGCCTTCTTTTGTTTCTACACCAATACATCGGGTGAAGCCAAGAATAATATAAAATTAAAGCATAGTAAAGGCTGGATATTATCAAACTTCCAACTAGCTCTTTATGGGTTTTAAAATTCATGAATCTATTAGAATACAGTAGCCTTCATTTGATGTAGGTACTTTTCGATAGATGACTAACATATTCATCAAATCTTAAACTAGACACCAAGATTTTTTACTTGTAGGAATGTACTCTTATCATGATTAATCTTCAACACGTGTCTCTTACAAAAATCACTTACATTAGTAAGATCGTATAGCTTACTTTACATGACACTTCATCCAGGTGAGACAAGTCAACATGACATGAAAGTTGCGTATAATCCGCGTAAGTTTTATATAGCCCAATGTTCAATCATGAATGTAACTCAAAATTATATATTAAATACAGCAAATAATCTAAAATCGACCTGTGAGGGACATCTGAAGAAATATCCACAGAAGATGAGACAGCTCTAACTGTCTTTACCTTTTGTTTATGATTAGGTAAGTAAGCTTCAAAAAACTTAGATCAAAAGAAGTCGTGTTTTTGCAAAACTGATTCAACTAATGCAAGTGCAACACTGCTTCAAACTAATTCAAGACTTTTCGCCTTTACTTCACACTACTTCCACGCTAGTGGAGCCGGAGGGTTAAGGCTAGTAGAGATATAAGGCTTATGGAGTTGCTTCCAGCACCATCACTGTGGTTTTAGTTTGAACAGAATCTGACTTTTGGCCTGATTAACTCAATAATCGTCAATATTTGTCTATATAAAAAGTTCAGCATATTGGAGCCTTTGCAATATACTTGGAGGTAGTACTTACATGTTTAAAACTTCACATGTAATTCTTGCCTGTAGCAATTTTTCAATTTTTATTTCAATGAATCACTCGTTTGCTACATGTTTTGGAAACACGCTATAAGCGTGTTCTACTCGAAATATTGCATGTTACTGATTATTTTCCTGATTAGCCAATGAGTTGGATAAAAACAAATAACAGAATTTACTAACTTAGCTGTTGGAAACATGTGTTTGACCTTGTGCAACTCCATCTCATTGTCAAATGTCATCATCTCGATTCCAACTTCTGCGGCATACTTCAAATGACTCAACTTCTTCGTAGGATGTGCGTAAATGATTTTGTTTGGTGGAACACCCAGAGAAAGAATTTTCTTGATCTCTTCTTTGGAGGCGCAGTCGAAACCTGATCCCATGGCCACCAGGGTTTCCAGGACGAGCCTGTGAGCATTGCATTTTACAGCTGCAAAGTATCAGAATAGAGTCTAAAATTTTACATTTCACTATCTATAAACGTAAAGCTTTGAGTGGCGACCAAAAAATATCTCAGCTGCAAAGTACCAGAGTAGATATAGTTTGAAATTTTACATTTTACATGTATAAACATAAAGCTTCGTGTGGCGATCAAAAAATATGATTTGAGTGAAGTTTCGAAAAACTGGAAGACGTCTCAATACAAGGTGGCGCAAAAGTAATGTGTCATAGTTTGAATTGGCCGCCATTTTTGCAAATGGCGCTAAATCTCACTGTGCTTTGACATTTATGATGTAGATATATCCAGAATGTTTTAATTTAATATTTGCCAAAAATACAGGTTTGCTCTAATTTGTTGTCAGTACAAGAGCAACAATGACAAATTAAAGCATTGCCATGTAATTCATGCGTTGGAAGTTTCTGGTTATCGCTCACTCTCATACTGAAGTTTTCTTTTTCTGTAGTGTCACCTGTGCAACAACTTCAGTCGTGAAATGGCACTGGTTTTTTGTTTGTTTAAAATAGTAATAAAATTAAAAATGCGTTGAAACTACAACTATGCGTAAAGTATGAAAAAGTGGTAATAAAGGTTAAGAATATTAAAACAAGAGATACTAGATTCACACATTAAAAAAGTACTGAAACTTGATACTAATAAAATTATTATACATTTCACATTTCTTCACATTCAACTTCACATTTAAATATTCAAAACAAAAATAAATCTGTAGAGGCTGTCGTAAGTATAACAGAAGAGTAAAATATAGTAAAAACTAAATTAATATAAAAAGAACACTACAAATATACGAAAATCATCACATTCATTTAGGCTGGTAACTATATCTGGGCTTTACATAGAGGCATGAATAACGTCTTGCCATCTATATACTCATAGATTTTTTCCTAGGGATGGTTGTTATCCACAATGAAATTCTTTTTTTAAAGAGTCCAATATTTTCCATTGTTTTGTAAGCGATAAGCATATCGTTGTGCAGCTTGGGGCATAGATAAGCCCAAGAGCGGTGTAATAGTGTTTTTTCCGGCTTGGGTACTATCTGGTGCAGAGTCGCCTTCAGGCGGGTGTCACATTTGTGGATCATTTTGTTCATGTTTTTCAAGTTTTATTTCTAATGTAATACTCCAAGGAATTAAAGATAAAAATCTTATATCCTACATTTTGCCAAAAATAATCTTTAATATACATTTTTGAGCAATTTCTAAGTTCCTTAGATATGTGAATGCCGCTTCCCCAACCAATTACTCCAAAGCAAGGATGTGTAGTATCTACAATGAAAGCTAAGCCCGTTTGCGGAGTACTTAAACTGTGGCATGAGGCATCCTATTTTCTTTGTTACATAGTCAACTTGTCAAACCCATCTCAACTTTTCATCAATATAAATTCTGAGATATTTAAAGCTGGTTTGACATTTGATAGTGACAGTCACAGATTATTAGCCACATTACATACTACTCGTCATTATTCGTCAGAGCGATCCGGTGGACCTTTGCTCTTAGTTAAAAGTCTCGTCGGTCTGTTAGTCTGTCAGTTCTGGCTACCCAGATCCCAAACATGTTTAAAGGGAAAAGAGAAAGAAGGAAAGAAAGGAAGGAAGAAATAGTAAGTAAATCATTTGCAATAGCTTAGGCATTATTGCTTTGACTACTCTAATTATTTTGCAACTCCAAAAATAATTTTGATCGGTTTTGTATACTGAAATAATTTTGGTTGGTCTGAATTTACAATTTAATTTTGATCACAGTGCGAGGCGCAGCCTGGAAGGTTTGCGAACTTGCTCGACTGTGTAGTCTTCTGAATCACGCAACAGAGGGTTTCTGTGCGATGCCACTTGATTATAACGCCGCTGCGCCTGTTGTTTTACGTAATCCCTTAGATATGGGATATCAAGATGTCTGTGAATGATCTCATTTGACACGTACCAAGGGGCGTTAGTAATTGTGCGTAGGGTTCTGTTTTGCTGGACTTGCAGTCTCTGCATGTGCGTCTTGACAAGAAAACACCAAGCCGCGCATGCGTAGGTGATTGCAGGTCGTATGACCATTTTATAGAACCGAATCTTGTTGATCAAACTTAATTTTGAATTTCTACACAACAAGGGATAAAGCTGCCAAAATGTAATTTGGAATTTTGTTTTCAAAATATCAGTATGTTTCTGCCAGGTCAACCCCTTGTCAATTATGACTCCAAGATACCTGACAGATTGCTCCCTTGGTACACGAGTTCTATTCACTGAAATCTCTGAGGGGGCAAGACGACGTTTTTCAGTACAATAGATTGCCTGCATTTTCTAAGTATTAATTTTTATCAACCACCGATCCGCCCACTCCAATACCTCCTCCACCGCACTCTGTAGCCTTTCGGGAACCAGGTTACCAGAACAAGACTGGGCTAGCCATGCAGTGTCGTCAGCATAGAGATAGACTTCACAGTTGCTGGGGCAAGGGACTTCATGTATATAAAGTGAATAAAGGAGTGGTCCTAATAACGAACCCTGAGGAACACCGACTCTCACGGGCCGTGTTGTTGACAACACATTGTTAATTTTGATCCGAAACTTCCTTCCTTCTAGAAAAGATGTCAACAGTTTTAGTAGCCAAAATGAAAAACCCTTTTGGATGAGCTTATACAAGAGGCCCATGTGCCACACCTTGTCAAATGCCTTTGGATACAGTACTTTTGTTCAGGGTGAACCCCCTGGTTACATGCTCCACCAGTCTATCTGCTTGTAAGTCCGTACTATGCTCAGATCGAAAGCCGAATTGCACGTCAGGAATCACATAGTCATCTGACGAGAAATTCTTAAGGTGACGATAAATCACCTTTTTAGCGAGCTTAGAAGGACCTGACAGCAGACTAATGGGACGGTAATCCTGGGGGAATATCGAACCTGCCTTCTTTGGGATCATGATGACTTCAGCGACCTTCCACGCCTTAAGAAAGTAATGTTCTGAGCATTGCATTGATTATCGCCACCAGCTAAGTCAAAGCCTTGAGCGAAAGCAAACTTCAGTGCTTTGTTGGTTATTTGATCCTCTCCAGGTGCTTTACGCACCTTTATTTCCTTAATGTGGCCTTGGAGCTCTGCTGGTGTGCAAAACGGAATCTCATAGGATTCCGTTGATGTGCTATGCTGAGATTCATCTGAAGAGTCCTCCGAAGAAGAATTTTCTGAAAAGGACTCACCGATGTTAGCACCGATGTTGGTATCGCCATTCACTCTGAAGTATCTCCTGACAGATCCTACAATTTGTCGCTCCCCGTCCAGGTCATTATCCAGATCATAATTGGGAGAGAACTGACTTTCCATGACGTCAGCAGAAACCTCCACTTTATCGTCAGTCCTGATAACTATGCCTCCAGGATCATGAATATGTGGTAGTTGTTCTTGCCTTCCGCTTCTGAGCGATTTTGTCACTTTCCAGAGAGGAATACTTGATTCACACTGGATTCTGATCAGTGGCACTTGCCCCTCTATTATCCTCGAGTTGCATTATATTAGTTTTATCAACAAATGTATACAGGGTGTTGTTAATTATGCTAACTTAAAAAACATGTATTCGTTATAGCAATTAGCAATTACAGTTTCCAATTGTTTATCCACTTTTATTCTGTAAAATAACATACAACATATAATAAGTATGTAAATACATACATGGCATTTAAAAAATGGCGTCAAATCTATTGATACATTTTGTTACTATGTATGTATAATCTCGTTTGATCCATGTCATTCTTGGCACACTACTTTATATGCTAAGGGCGATAAAAACCGATAGAGTCGGAGCGGGGCTACGGGCATGGATCCACCTCCGTTCAGGGGGCTCGACAAACATCTCTTACCTCAACTCTGAAGAGGACGCAGACGAAGACATAGCTTGTCAACCTCTTTTCCTGTTATGGCTGAACTATACATTAGCGCATATCACAAATATTTCATTTCTTATTTTAAAATGAAAGATTAGGATGTAACTTGCACGAAAATATCATTTTTTCTTTAAGGAACCCTTTGCTTGCAATTTTATAGAACTTCAAAGTTGCATTTTGGGTGCTAATACTGCGGTATAGAATACTGCTTTATAAGCTGTTTTCTTCTTGTTTATACAAAAGATTGTTCAAAATTATATGCATATAACATACACTGTAAGTTACTGTGATACTGTTCATGGCAATGATGCAAATTTGCATTATTTTAATGATGAAAATATTTCATTAAGTAGTCATTTCTTTTATTTCAGATAATTATTTCCATCACTACACCACCGTCACTGTCATATTCTCTCCATCTAGTTGCGATGTTGCCAAATCATAGATAGTAATATACTTTAATTTGGTTTGTCAAATTCTTACTTATATACTAGCGCAAAAATGTGCAATCAGCACAGGCTTGTCATGAAAATGCGATTTGGAGGTGTAGCCGGTAGGTTTTACTGTGCTAAATCCACCTTGTGCCCTACGATTCCGTTAGCTAAGGAGACTTTTTTGAAGAATGCCTTATGTCCTTCACAAAAATACTTCGGTTATTGTTTTTCCTATATTATAGTTATAATTTATATACTTTTTGTATGTATGTACTTGAAGAATTATTTAAAGTGAAGCTGATGTTACAAACTTCACCTAATCAGATGTGATATTTATGAGAAATAACTGAAAAAGTAGTTGTTGCAAATCACTAAATAATGAAAACATAACAAAGAACATTGCAATTTTTTTGATGATTTGATGAAATCATCGTTGATCTCTATTTAAGTATAATGTTGGAAGATATGTTGGGTGGACCTGGCGAGGTGGTCCAAATCGAATAATCAATGTTGGGTATTTTTATATGCAATGAAAGCTGGTGCCTTTTGTATTTTTTATGTCACGCGAGCCGCTGATACATTTTCCACTGTTTAGACACATACTGTTCAAAATTTCATCTAGTTTTCGGTAAATATTGGGACAATTTTTCATAAATCAAGCCATTGACAATA